CAGGGAGGGCTGGGTAAGGCTCCCTGAAGGGGGATGCCCGGGTCGCAGCAGAAACTTGACTCTGTGGTCTCCCTTGGCCAAGGATCCTGTAACATGGGCCAGGGGTCACTTCTGCTTTGTGGTCCCAGCGCATTTCCACTGCTGTGTGAGGGTATGGGGAGCTTGTCTTGGTGTCCCCCACTTTCCCCAGCTCCCATGGTGCTTGCAGAGCTGGGTGCAAGCAGTGCTGGTCTGGGAGTGGGGACTGAGAACTGGGAAGCATCGCAGGTGGAGGGGTAACAGCTACTTGCTTAAATAGACACAGACCTGGCTGCAGTCCTGATGAACTAGAATTGCCTTCACCGAGACCTGAGGTGAGACCGCTGGATTTCAGTGTTTTGATATCTAGGAAAGCTTTTGTAGAAGCACTTGGGCTGGATTTCTGCCCAGCAGCCTTGTCTCAGGGGCTCTACTGTAGACGCACATTGGGCAAAGCCAGCCAACAGCCCAATGGTTTGGGGCTGGGAGAGCAGCGAGAGCATGTGGAACGTGGCACTGGGAGGCAGATGCTGTTGGTGCTTTTCAAGCCTTAGTGACCGCTGCCTCAACATGTACTTGCTGGCTGGTGTCTTCTCTGCAGAAAAAACAGAGATGTGTGGCAAACATCTATTGACATAGTCAGGAGGTGGAGATGGGAACCGGAGGACATGAGAGTTACATTTTCTTTTACGGCCTTCACCAAATCTCAATACCCACTGTGGATCGAGACATCCCAGCAACCCTGTGCAGAAGGACAGCAAGTCACAAAACGTGGAGGGTGCAGTAACTTTCTCCCTTTCCATCCCCCTAAAAGCATGGGCTCAGCACTTTACAAGTACTCTGTATCAGCATTTAAGGGCTGCTTCTTTGGTGAGATAAATAAAGATGTGACATTCAGTGCTGACTTAAGCTTAACGTATCTCCCCAGATGGGAAGCCCAGGGCAATCTTTTGTGCCTGGTATTCCCTCCCTGCTTCATCCTCCTCAGCTCGGCTGCAGGCTCCCAGAGTACCAGGTGCCAAGGTGGGGAGACACAGAGCTAGCCAGTCCAGGGGAAGGTGCATTCATCCAGCTGTACGGGGCTTTTATGATCCCAGCTGTCATCACTGTGCTGCCCTCCCTTTAAACTGATTTGGGTGTGAATTTCTCTCCGGAGGGACAGAAGTAGGCGTAATACCCGGTATGCACGG